AGCTGCGTGAGTCCAGAACCATATGCCATGACGACCAGGGCCTTGTTGAGTCTTGAGAATATCCTTCAGAGACCCAAGCAGGGCATTCTGCGAAGTATGCATAGCTTTAGTCTGCGCTTCGATAAGCGAGACCAACTGCTTGTTATTCTCTGCCACCCCCGCGGGGCACGCACGCCTATCCCCGAACACAGCCGTTGCAGCATGCTTGGCCGTCCGAGACTGGTTCCCTCTGAAGTTCTATATAATATAGCAAACCTCAGTTATGCCCTAAGATCAAACTCTCCTCAGAACTGGCCTCGGTCCCTCCGGGGCACAGGCAACAAGACGATCCAGCAACATAGGACTCGTAACCAATGGAAACCTTCGCTCCCACCGGTAATATCTTGTCGTACTCCTCCAGACCCCGCTTCCAGACACCCGTGAACTGACTAACTTGACCCTCACCATCCCAGGATAGAACATGAAACTCCCTTAAGGTTTCGTCTAGACGAATCAGGACGAAGAGCTGTAACATCATCTCGCGATCAGCAGCAAAGTCCTTCTTCCCAGCGTTCTCGTACCTAGTGTCAAAATAGGAGTTCATGAAGGAGATACTCAATCTTTCAGCCATCATACGATCGTTCCAACCAGTCGTACTGGCATCTGCCACAGATCTTCGAAACTAGATCCGCAGGCCGGAGACCCCATCATATCTCTCCGGCATCTGGGCGGTCACCACTGGCAGCGTCTGACCAGTGAGGAGATGCGTCAACATACCTCTCGTCGGTAGCGACTCGGCCTGCTTGTCGTCCTCCACGGATTCAGTAGCTCTACTTCGGTGTTTTAGCTCTGGGGCCGCTTGAGGCGGTGGCCTTTCCTATCGCCCACGGTTATACTCTACAACTGAACGTCTCGCCATCTCGTCCACCTGCTCAGCCACCGCCTCCCCCAACTCAGCATTAATGAACCCATCATAGGCCTCCTGAGCTGTCTCTTTAGGATCCCGGTGTACCAAGAGGGCCCAAGGGCCCCTCCTTCTGCTCGGGACCGAGAGAGGGTAGCACCAGAAGCTGAACCGACCATACCATACTTGGAGTCGTTCGTAACAAGGAGCTGCTACCAACTGGTTTTGCGGTATCAGGGGGGCCGATAATTGGCCCCTTAGTCATTATATCCGTACCTCACGATCATTGGCCGCTAATGACTCCGCTCTCATTTACCTCCATAGCGGGAGGGGAGATTCGGAGGGGGAGTAAATCTCTGACCAATGTTGTGTTCAATGAGTGAAGCTCCAAAGAG